AAGTATACTCTTTTTTTGTATATATTTAGTATTTTTTTCTGTTAATATCCGTTTAACTGAAACCTTGCTTGGTTTGTTTCTGGCCCTCTAGGTTTGAATAACATATATATAAATATATATATATATATATATTTATTCTTTATATAAATATATGCAAAAATCTTCCACATGCTGAATTCAGTTATTTGAAAAGTCTTCAACCTCATTTATCACAATTGGTAATGCTTCAAACATTAAAAGGGTGCTCCCCAAATTTTTTTCAAAAGAATTAAATGTCATTCATTCTTCATTTTCATTCAACCTTTTTTCCAACAAAAAATAAATAAATAAATAAAATAAAAAATTTCACTGTTTTGTAAATCATTCACTAATTTAAGAAACCCTATATATATATATATATATATAATGCTATTATACAAAGAGACAGACACAATTGCAACTAGTTTGTACTGAAAAATCTTATCGAAGAACACAGCGTAGTTTAAAAATATCCTAGATCATGAAATTGTAAAAATGCCCCATCTTGTCAAATAAATCATGGTTGAACATGGCATGTTCATCCATATATAAAAGGTTGTTATGATTAAACAAAGTATATATACATATTTTGGCTATATATATATTCATATATATATATATATATATATAAATATAAACATTTCTTAACAACAAATTTAAATATTTACTATCCATCTTTGACTATTTATATTTTTATAAAAGGATTCACGTGTTGTTTATCTGATACAACTTTCGATTAAATGAAAATTCTTGTAATGTGGTTTGTTAAATATTTGTTCAACAAATTGTTTGGTTTGGTCACATGAATACAAATACCAGAATAAAAAAAAAATAAATAAAATAAAATAAAAAATCAGAGATCCAACATCAAAAAAATTACATCACATTTAGGACAGACATACTAAATATATTTATTAAATGAAACAATGAAAAAATAAAATATGACATAACATAAATTTCTTACCAGTAGGTTGGTTTCTTTTTTTTTACACAAAATCATGGGAAATAGCACCCAAAATTTTCTCATGATTATTAAATCACTAAAGGATGAGACAATAAAAATTAATAATCATATATATAAAATATAATATTTTATATTTAAATAAGTTTTGTCCCCACTCAGGTAAAACAGTCCTTCATATAGCTGAAATAACAAATAGCATAAAATTTCTTTCGTCTTTAACCAAACTGAAAAATAGAAAATTCTTAATGTTATAATAGTTGTTTATCTTATGACATATATTTACAATTTATATGAACACACACATATATATATAGACACATTAATTTAAACACAGTACTGGTATAAACACAAGGTCTATATTTTACAGTTATAATATATATAGATGTAAACACTCACACTCTCACACATATATATATATATATATTTATATATATATTGCTACCAAGAGAACTTTGATCTTCAAATATTTAAATGAAATGTCAATCATTATCTTCTGCCTTTTTTTATATTGTGTTCCTTTATTGTTCTCTCTGTTTAAAATTAGTAAAAGTTTATCTGTAAAAGGCCAATTCTCTAAATAAAGAGTAAATGAAAACATCTTACCCGACTTTATTATTCTTGATGGAATTTTATTAAAAAAATTTAGGGGCTATTTTCCTTGTGCAATTTATTATAAAATTTTCAATGTTTTTTTTTTATTTACAAAATAAATATTTTCTGCCTAACACAATGTAATAATACATGAAGGATAAGATGAAAATTTAATTTCAAAAACTCAAGGCAAAAATCCTATTGCTTAGAATTTTTTTAACACAAAAGGATTATTTATTTATATATATATATAATATTCATATTGTTTTTTATATATATATTTATACTAACTAGCAGTAAAGCCCGGCGTTGCCCGAAGTAAACTTCCTCTGAATAGAAGATCATACTCATTTTGTACACGCATGTAATACTAAAGTCTAGTAGAACTGATGGACGCCCACTTAAAAAAACGTAATGTACACAAGTTGTCGGTATTCATTAGCACAACGGAAGAAAAATTGTAAGGCTTAAAAGGAAGTAATGGACAGCCATGATAGCATCAGCCGTTTGCTATTATTAAGACACCTCCAATTAAAAGTTGTCAAGTTCAATACGAATACGGGCCTTAGAAAGTTTTTGGTGAGTTTTTGGCAGATGGCTTTGTATCCCGATGGGATGGTTTTATTATCCCTGAGTGCAAGACATTACATGAAGCCCTGTGTCAGTTTCAACGTAGTAAAACGCAATAGCGTGAAAGGTAAACGCATCTTTTTCCCAAAAGACGGCGCTGTCACTTACCGCAAACAGAACCACATAACAGAAGTATGGGAATGCGCCGGGCGAGTACATGTAAGGGGCACAATTTTTTTTTAGTTTTTAATAGCCAGTTGAGGCGAACATGAAGCACATGTAGCGTTACCCAAACCAGCCCTTATGGTAAGTGGAGAAACACACCAACGGTGTACGGAAGAGAATGCATATTATAATTCTGCATGTTGCTATTCTTTTATTATCCCACTTCTTTTTGCTGAGGCCTGAATTGCGTGGATGCACTCGACTTTTCTGACAATTAAACGAATCCACCTTCCCACCTATTGGTTTTGTGTTGCAACTGAATATGGTTAAGTGGTCGACATGTAAGTGAGAATGCAGCTATGGTGGAGTTTAAGTGATAAGGGAGCATCTGGTGAGCAAGACAACCTTTAATGAAATGTCATAGTAATCGCAAGTGGATACGACGACGACCTTTAAATAAACCAGTTTAAAAAATGAAGGAACCTACAATGCAGCTGACATAAAGATGTGTACATTGCGTTTAAACGTGACCGACCATGGGCTATAGGACTTCTGTCTAGGCAATATTTTTAGCTTTGTTTGTTGAGAGTAAACGTAAACGTTATCCTTATTCCCGACTTGGGAGCAGCCTACACAAAGTTGTCCATGGACGAAACACTGTTCACCCTAAATGCAGACCCGCAACACTGAGCGTCTGTTCTTTGTGATTTGGCCATTGTTGTTGAGCTGTGCTCGCCATAACCCAGGGCCCTTTCTGAAGCTCTGCAGAAGATCTGGAATTCCTCAAACGACATTCCTAAACGGTCTGAACAGGTTGTCTGTGTTCTGGCAGACGCAGCAAGCCCTTCTTAAACGACGAATAAATGGTTTGTTGAGGTTGTTCTGTAACCCTGCAATTCTGTACCCTAGCATTCCTAAAACGACGCGAGTGGATTGTTCATGGCTTTCTGATGCCACTATGCCAGGCTTTCATTCTGTTCAGCAAGTATTGTCTGTGTTGGAGATCGTGGGGCCCTAGCAGAGCATGAGGCCATCTTCAGTTGAAAGTCACAATGACATAACTTTTACTGATTCTATTTCAGTCCGTTCACTTAGTTTCCGTGAAGATGCGGGAGCGTGAGGTCATCTGAGAAAGGCGCAATCCAAAACGTTTTTATTTGCCCTTGCTGCTCTTGTAGCAGAGGCAGCGGCCGTGTGCCGTCCAAAATGTTCAAAAAGGCTAATGTAATAAAACGGTATGTAGGTTTTTTGAGTGCAAAAAATACGTGTAGTCTAAATGTAAACAGGTTAGACGGATCCCCAAAATTGTATGTAACTATATTAAAAGGGGATCGAAGACAAAAAAAGTGAAGTTTAAAAAATTCAACTAAAACGGTAGTAGGTAATTTGGGAAGTAAATTCGATAAACGTGGAAACGGATGTAGTTATAACAAAGAAGAAAAAAAAAACAGTTTGGATACGTAATCAACGACTTGCGGTTTCCGTAAGAAGCGAATGAAGTGAGCCAAGCGCGGGACAGTAATCGTAGAAGTGTAAACACGCGTGCGAGTTATAATATAAAGAGGCGGTTGGCCGGTTGACCTTGAGCGCACATACTAAGGTGACGTACGTATGCACTTGCACACGCGTGCGTAAGAGAACTGCTCGCGTGTATGATTGGATGGGCCCAAGGTTAAACGCTTGCAACCGTGCCAATGAGCTCGCAGCAACATTGAACTGTCGACGCCAATGGTTAACCTCCAGCTGTGTTAGTCAAAGGAGTGCACAGTGGCGGATGACGTTTCAAAATAGTATCTGGCGACTTTATTGTATCGGGTTTTTTTGATTGATATGAAAGCTATGTAGTTCCTTATCCCAAAATAGGCATTGCCTTTTTGATTTACGTCGTCGCCAATATAGCACAGTCTCTCAAAGTCAGCCAATCAGAAAATGGGATTTTCAAGCTTCATTTTCTTTGAAAATTTTGAGCAACCAGGAGATATGAGGTAGTTTTATTGATCAAAAGTTGAAAATACAAGCGTTTTTACACTTCTTACGAACAAAATTTGAAGCAATGTTAATTTCGTTTACTGATGGATGATGAAGGCATTTAAGTAGCACGAATTTTGATGAAAAGGTGCGAGAACTTTTTGAGGCAGCGAGGCGCAGTAGTAAAATTCTAGCGAGTAGGTGCTTTTTGCTTACACGTAAACGGCATGAAAAAGCATAACAGTCCCTTGGTGTCCCCTCGAATGAAAAAATCCAATCAAATGTGAAAAATTGGACAAATTGGACAATTGGGGGGAGCCGATTCTGTCCACTTGGCCTAAAAGTGGTGGCGTGAAGTGGCCTGAAATGTATTAGTGATTGCTCACAGAATTCGCTCCTATGCTTTAGTAGGCTAAATGAGCTACAGACACCTAAAAACCAGCAATTTCACCTTTTTTTTTAACTGATTTTTCTGGTAAAATTTGACATGTAGCTCTGTAAATCCCTTTTAAGATGGCCTTGACGTTTACTTTACCGTGCAAATCAGAAAACATGGAAAATAATGCATGCCTGTATTGAAACATTAAAAGATCCTTTTTTTTTTGGTATGAGTATTAAATTCTGAAATAAAAGTAGGCTACCTGAAACCTCTACCCCATTTGGGATGCTTGATGCGCGCATGCGTGAGATCCCCCCCCACCGCCCCGTTCACACATGATCTCACATGATCCCGGAGCGTGAATGGGCCAATCAGCAGCAAGCATTACGCATCGCGCGAGCTAGGTGTGATTAATAGCACTAATCCAATTGGCTTTTAGAGCGCAAAGTTCGGCTGCGACAGAAATCCTTCATTGTGATAACTTTTGCATCCGAAACCAAATATGGCCATTCTTGTCCTTTCTTATTCCATTTAAACCTGACTTTTTTTTCTAATTATGCTACCACTATTTTTCTGACATGAAAAGTGTCCATATCTGCTTGTGTGCAGTGAACGCACATAATTACACACATGGACATCCGATCAAAAATGAAAAAATCTGATAATATTGATTTAAATATTGATTTAAATCAATTTTTTGGTGCTGTCAAAACCTCCAGAGAACCATTAGGAGTAACTGTGTCAAATTTGGTTAAAAATCAGTTGAAAAATGTAGGTGATCCGATCAAACATATAACACAACACACACACACACATTCTGCCTTTTATATATATATAATTTTTTTAACACACACACTCACACACACACACACACATATATATATATATATATATATATATATATATATATATATATATATATTTGTGTGTGTGTGTTTTGTGAACGCCGTCTAATCAGGGCATAAGCGATCATAACCTCCACATTTTCCTGTCTTTCGTAGCTGTTTATAATTTTTTTATATCTTCTAAACCCTGTTCCTGACATCCATTTACTCAAGCTAAGTAGGTTATGCGTTCTTTCCCTCTGTCCCTCTTGCCTTCAAACTGTCCTGTGAGTATCAGATTTTCCAAGCCCCCTTTCCTCATTATTCCCAAGAAGAAAACGGAGAGAGAAACACACACACTTTTTCTGGTCTTGACACAGTTGGTGTTTGTAAAAGTCTCCGGTATCAGCGTGGGGTAAATATCTACTGGTCTGTGTGGGACAAAACCAAAAGAAATACAAAACACGCCGATTATTGAAAGGTGGGTGATAACAGTATTAAGGTATTAACGAATCAAAGACCCTCCCTTTAATGTTTATGTCACTTCATTGATGCGAGGAGCGCGAACCACCTCTTCGAGCGGCATCACTAATTCAACAAGATTTGCGAAAAATACAAAAAAAAAAAAAAGAAAAGTAAAATAAAAGAAAAGAAAAAAAAAAGAAAAAGGGGAAGAGGAAAGAATAGAAAAAAAAATCTCTCAATGTCTAACCGAAACTAAATAAATGTATGCACATACACAAATCCTCCATAAGGCAAAGCAATCAAGCGTGCCCACTAATTAACATATCTGGCAAAGAAATAAACAGACAAAAATAATCAAGGGGCAGCCGGCGAAGGTAAAGGAATCGAGAGACAGGAGGGCGATCAACATTTCTTACCTGTGAGATCTACCGTGGACCGAGTCGAGAAGGGTCGGGTTGTTTGCGGAAACCAAGAACAAAGGCACCGGCCTGTTCGGTCTGCTCACAACGGGTTATAATCTGGTGTCATTATCATGAAACTGAGTAGAGGGCGGTAAGCAGGCAACTTACTTTGGGAATTGGTCGCTTGAGGAATTAATTTAGACGCGGGGAATGGGTAGATTGTTCGGAATCAAATGGTGAGGAGTTTACATGTAATTTAGTCGGTGGCAAAGTGAGGATTTCTTCGTTGAATAATTGACAAGAAATGATTCCTGAAATTAAAAATATGCCTCATGCTGTTAGACTTAAAAGCCTTGACCTTTTTCTCAATTGATACTGAACTAACGATTTAATACACATATTTAGAAAAGTAAATTCGATTGATGGCATAATCTTCGAGAAATATTTCACTAAAAACCAATATAAATCCATAAGAGAACATTAAGAATTCGACCGCTGCCCTATCGTCGAAAATATGTTTTTCTACAACTATAGGGAACGAACAACACTTACCCTATTTCGGTAGTTAAGGCTAAGACGTTAGATGTCTTCAAAAAAGAGATCAAAATACAGTTTTATTATATTGACAGATGGTAACTATATTTGTGTACAATGTGCCTTTTTTTCCACTGACTTAATCGCTTTTGTAATTCAATGCATCGATTATTTGTTTTTACTGCATGTTGTTGGAGCTTTTTGCCATAACTTTTACCTCCCGTTCCGATTATCCATTTTGGCGTTATGGCTGCTGGGTTTATAGTAATTACTACACAAAAAAAAGTCTTAAAGGCCCCAGAGATCTGGTTAACAAGCTAGTTTCATACAACATAATGTATTGAGACCAATCCCCACAGGGTGTTCAACCAGAAAACCAACACTTTTGGTCATGTACTGGTAAGCTCTGTAAATATCAATTTAAGGTAAAAATTAATTTCACTATAATCATTTTTTTTTCTACGATGGAAACATGCGAATAGAGGAAATCTCATTTTAGTTATAGGTCTCAAAAGTGAAAAAAGAAACCTTTCGTAGAACTGTTCCCATATTCACTATTTTTAATGTTATTTATGGACTTTTCTTATTAAAAATATTTTCTTATGCATTTAATCGTCCACGTTTTAGGAAGATTTTCTTAGTTTATGTCCTGTCTTTTAAGGACGTTAGCGAACATGGTTCTCCACAACTTCCAACATTTTGTTCTCAGTAAAATTTTACCCTTTACCACCCCTGTTTGTCATTGTTCCGCCACCTATTTAAACATGCTAAGTCTTATTAGCTTCCCCCACTCTGTTTTACTTAATTTCAATAAGAACTTTGAGTGTTAAATTTTCCAGACCTTCTTTCCTCAATATGTATCCTCAAAATTTAACGGTCTGTTCTTGATTGTATGTATCAATTTCCTTGTAGTTCTTATTTTCCTTAATACTTTACCGTTACTTACCTGTTCTCTCCGATATTCTCAGCATTCGTCGGTAGTAACACTTATGTTCAAATATTTACTTAATATCTGATATTGTCTCTCATTAACTGCTTTTTATTACATCGCAGTTCAGCTCTCTTTCCTACGTTCCGAAGGACATTTTCTTTTAATATTTCTCTAATCCTATTCACCTTTGGATTTCTGTGCCAAATTTTTTCGTCGCCTGTTACAACACTATCTCGATCAGGGGCTCTCAACATTTTTTTTTTTTTTGCCCAATGCACCCTTTCCCCATAAGTCCGAATGTCATTCCCGCTTTTCTCAGATTGACAGATTCAAAAGGTGCATTCAAAATAATATTCATATATTATTTTCCATATTAGTACATAAAATTCACGTCAAAATTTTCAGTCAACCCCACGTACTTTTTTCTTTAAATTCGCTCCCAAATTAGTTGCTTTGTATTTTAAATAAGAGAAAATTATTATACACGGTTAAAAAAGTGAATCATAATTTTTTATTACAAAATTTATTATGACAAAAAGAAAAAAGATATTTTATGATTAAATTTTATTCTCGTCAAAATATTCTTCTTTAGCCTTGATTACTGCAGCACAAATTTTTGGCATTCGTTGTAAAAGCCTTTCAAAGTATAGGTTTGTTAAGTAATTCTGTTCTTATTTGAATGATTCTAAGATCACTTTTTTTCATTCTTTCAAGTTCATCCCATTAATTCTGGGGGTGGCTTCATACTTTTGAACTGTAGTGCATATATTTACATGGATTATTTTTATATAGGAGTTTTACAAAATTAATAACAAGAAAAATTGTTAATATTTTTTAAAACTTGGAGACATATTTGAATACAATTTGTTTTAATTCACAATTATTAAATAAATAAACTGAAGGATACTTCAATAAACAAAAGTTCAATAAAAGGTCAGGGTATTTGAACTGATTTTATTCTGAAGATTACAGTCAATTGGAAACTTGTGAAAAAGTAAATGATTTTTCTTCCCTCCATTCCTGAAACCGTGAAATTACCGCCTGCAGATGAATTCTATTGGTTGAGAACCTCTGATCTAGTTAAAATTTTGTTCTCGATTGATTCTAATGTCTCTATTTTGTAGCTCGCATTTTGAACTGTCTCTTTTAATGTCGACCATTTCTGTATTTTTACACTTGTCGTTTCTTCTTGCTTTTCTTTAGTCCCTTGTTTAAAATTTCTTTTTTTTTACAGAATAAAAAAGGAGTCTGCCAGCCGTGTCATTCGCGTATCTTATGTTGTTAAGATTATGATAAATCCGTGTAGTTATACATGGTTCTTAGCAAAAGGGAACAGCCCAACATGCAAATTACAAATTGGTCAAGACCAAGTACTAAAATTTACAGATCTGAGAAGAGTCTTAACAGAGGACGGAAAGTGTGACACCGAAATCCGAAGGCGCATTGGAAAAGCAAAAGATGCCTTCCAAAAGCTAAGTATTAAGAAACCGGAAAATTTCTTTAGAAAGAAAGAGTACTGAATTGTTACGTAATACCAGTCCTCCTATATGACTCCAACTGCAACTTACCTGTTTTTCTCAGCTGAGTCTCTATTCAAAGACAAAGCCCCGACTGAGTCAGCCTCAGCCGAAGTCAGAGGTCTTTTCAGTTGCAAGCTAGACAGCAAACTGCCTGACTCCAACTTGTCTGTTTTTCTCAGCAGAGTCTCTCTTCGAAGACAGCCCCGACTGAGTCACTCTCTGCCGAAGTCAGAGGTCTTTTCAGTTGCAAGCTAGACAGCAAACTGCCTGACTCCAACTTGTCTGTTTTTTCTTGCAGAGTCTCTCTTCGAAGACAGCCCCGACTGAGTCACCCTCTGCCGAAGTCAGAGGTTTTTCAGTTGCAAGCTAGACAGCAAAATGCCTGACTCCAACTTGTCTGTTTTTTCAGCAGAGTCTCTCTTCGAAGTTCGCCCCGACTGAGTCACCCTCTGCCGAAGTCAGAGGTCTTTTCAGTTGCAATATTAGACAGCAAACTGCCTGACTCCAACTTGTCTGTTTTTCTCAGCAGAGTCTCTCTTCGAAGACAGCCCCGATTGAGTCACTCTCTGCCGAAGTCAGAGGTCTTTTTTCAGTTGCAAGCTAGACAGCAAACTGCCTGACTCCAACTTGTCTGTTTTTCTCAGCAGAGTCTCTCTTCGAAGACAGCCCCGACTGAGTCACCCTCTGCCGAAGTCAGAGGTCTTTTCAGTTGCAAGCTAGACAACAAACTGCCTGACTCCAACTTGTCTGTTTTTCTTGGCAGCAGAGTCTCTCTTCGAAGACAGCCCCACTGAGTCACCCTCTGCCGAAGTCAGAGGTCTTTTCAGTTGCAAGCTAGACAGCAAACTGCCTGACTCCAACTTGTCTGTTTTTCTCAGCAGAGTCTCTCTTCGAAGACAGCCCCGACTGAGTCACCCTCTGCCGAAGTCAGAGGTCTTTTCAGTTGCAAGCTAGACAGCAAACTGCCTGACTCCAACTTGTCTGTTTTTCTTGGCAGAGTCTCTCTTCGAAGACAGCCCCGACTGAGTCACCCTCTGCCGAAGTCAGAGGTCTTTTCAGTTGCAAGCTAGACAGCAAACTGCCTGACTCCAACTTGTCTGTTTTTCTCAGCAGAGTCTCTCTTCGAAGACAGCCCCGACTGAGTCACCCTCTGCCGAAGTCAGAGGTCTTTTCAGTTGCAAGCTAGACAGCAAACTGCCTGACTCAACTTGTCTGTTTTTTTTTGGCAGAGTCTTCGAAGACAGCCCCGACTGAGTCACTCTCTGCCGGTCAGAGGTCTTTTCAGTTGCAAGCTAGACAGCAAACTGCCTGACTCCAACTTGTCTTTCTCAGCTGAGTCTCTATTCGAAGACAGAGTCTCGACCGAGTCACTCTTTGCCCGAATGTTGTCGAGAGCATGGAACTGCCTCCAATTCGACTGTAATTTATTACCGAATAGATTCAGTAATTGTGACACAAAACCACAAGCATTCACTTCTACATACACCAAAATACCTCTCTCTCTCTCTCTCTCTCTCTCTCTCTCTCTCTCACACACACACACACACACACACACACACACAAGCTACAATACACGCCATTACATAAAAATTACTTTATGTATAACTGTGTATAAAATTATACTGATTCCGATTCGAATGTTATTTACCAAACTCTCCCACAAAGCAGGATGTGGCACAAGACCGGTTTTTACCTGGGGCGATTCCGAGCCCGTAAGCTCGGACAAAAATTCCCGTAGACCACGCATACACAGGGTCGGGATTGTCTACCTCGCCAGACGAGACTGTGCCCTTTGGCATAAGCTCATCTGGGTTCCTATTGCCCGAACGTAGAGAGTTTGACAAGCATCTTGCGGGCCTTGCAGTGAACTGCTTGACTCCGATTCGACTGGTATTTATGGGTAGCCCCATTGCGGACGAGATGCGACACAACGCCAAGTTTACTGTGGGGAACCCGGGCGTTTCCATCCGGGCTTTTGGACAAAATTTACCCAGATCTCGCCAAAGCGGTCTCACGTAGAGAACTGGTCTGTTTTTCTCAGCCAAGTCTCTATCCGAAGACAACCCGACAGAGTCACCCTCCCACCGAAGACGGAGGTCTTGTTTTGTCTTGTCTTGTCTTGTCATGTCGCGAGCCTGGGATAGACTGTGATCTGACTGGTATTTTCCGATCGCCCCATTGCGGACTAGATGCGACACAAGGTCAAATTTACTGTGGGGAGCCTTAGCGTTTCCACCCGGGCCACTGGTCAAAATTTACCCAGCCCCCGCCAAAGCGGGATCGGGTACTGATCTGTTTTTCTCAGCCGATTCTCTATCCGAAGACAGAGATCGACTGAGTCATCCTTCGCCCGAAGTCGGAGGTCTTGTCTTGTCTTGTCTTGTCACGAGCCTGGGAAAGACTGCAATTTGACTACTACTAACCTCATACCATGGAATTTTTTATAGTATTGATCGGGTTCATAGAGTCGCCGATGGTGTACTCTTTACTCGACAACACTATCTATCTATCTATCGATCTATCTATCTATCTATCTATCTAAATTTGTCGATATCTATCTATCAGTTATCTTTGATTTAATTCCCATTCGACTATGTTTACTGTTACATTGACTCCCCAGACTCTCGTAAAATATAGAACTGATACGTCATAAATATATTTAAAATAATAGAGATTTGTATGAAAGAAAACAGTAGTGGCTTAAAAGGAAGACGAAGCTTAAAGGTTGCATTGCTACTACTTATCATTGCATCTATATAATTAAAAAAGAAGCTTTTTTTCTTATATCAAAAGCTTCTTAATAATACTAATTAAAGGAAGGTAAATAAATTATATGAAAGCGCATGAAGGTTTGCAATAACAAGAATACTGAGGAAGACACTCAAGCACGTCACGGGTACGTAACACGCACAAGAAAGAAAAAAACACACCAAGATTCTCGTCAATAAACCACGCTAATAACAACAGAGTCGGGAAAAAGATGGAGAGGCGTACGATTTATAAGAGATAAGTGGTGTCTGCTTCGTCTCTTGTCAAGCTAGCATCGTTTTTCAAAGGAGAAAGGCAGTAACGGACGAGTCGCAATGAACGCTAAATACACTGGCAACAAAAACGAAAATGAAACCAAGCGGAAAATTTACCAATCTGTTTCGGTTTGTCTGTCTGCCTATTTATTTGTATTTCTCTTTCTATTCTATTCTAAGCTTCTTTTTTTTCTCGTGAAAGTTAGCTTCTATTGACTAAAATAACCTCCAACGTCGCCATATTCATCTTAGATTTTATCATTTCTTTTTTTCCTTGTTAGATACTGACCATGCGTTAAACCGCGATCTCGTAGAGTTACGATTAAATGTCTTCTCCTTTTTTTTAAAAAAAATCATTTCTTTATTCTTTTACTTTTCTCTCAAAAATTTAGTCTTGTGGTATTCCACCATTGAAAAATGCATTCGTTTATTTTTATTGTTTCACATAAAATTTTCTTTCTCTCCTTGCCTTTCATTTTTTTTCTATCTCATTCCCTTACTTACTTACTTACTTACTTTCTTTCTTTCTTTCTTTCTTTCTTTCTTTCTTTCTTTCTTTTGCTCGCTTACAGTTCTTCCTTTTAGCCCATTGTTTGTTTCTTTCATTCTTTTTTCTTTCTTTCTTTCTATGCTAGCTTACAGTTCTTTCTTTTAACCCTTTCTTTCTTTCTTTCTTTCTTTCTTTCTTTCTTTCTTTGTTCGTTTATCAGTTCTTTATTTTATTTGTTTGTTTGTTTGTTTCTTTGTTTCTTTGTTTGTTTCTTTTTTCTTTTCTTTTCTTTTTTTCTTTGTTTCTTCTTTTTCTTTCTTTCTTTTATTCTTTGTT